ACCTTAGATTTAAACATTTTAAGATTTTAAGACCTGTTTTAAGAATATATTGAATCCCTACATTTCTAACCTTGTGAACATCCTTGTTTTGTTGGATAAATATCATGTAAATGGAAGAAATGTAAATCGTTTTTTCTGATTTTGTGAAAATGTTTTGTCAGATGGCAGAAAACGTATGCTCCTCTGTCAAAGTATTTACAGTTTTAGTGCTATTCTGATTTACATATTTTTTCAAGTCTGTTCCATTTTAAATCTTGCTTCCTATTTATTCATGTTAGTAATTTACTTACATGTTAGTATGTAACTTACAATGTTAGCATGTATCCTATCTTGCAATGTATATGTGCAAAAATAATAATAAAAAAAACAGTAAATTAGACATCCCAGCCATAATGGTTACTACACTCATGGTGATGTCATTGTTTTTTTGCAGGGCTTAATAGAGATGGTGAGAAATAAAACAGGACTGGAGAAAGCCAACATTGAGACTATTTGGAGTTTGTATGACACATTGTTCTGTGAGGCGAGTTTCACCTGCCATTTATGTGCACACATGCACTCATGGCTTCATCTAGCATTAAAAACTGCCAATCAATCTCACCTGCTAAGTATTGTCTTTAGGAATGAATGATATATTGAAATAAAGGCAGTGTGTGCAAATCTAGCTTTTTTTTTTTTAACTCCCTATCAAGTGCAGCATTAGGGCTCCAGAAGAACAAATTCCATTCATTTTCTCCATAGATTAATTTATTTGAAATGATAACTTATAAATCATTAAAGACCTACTGTGAGCTACAAAGTTATCTTCCTACAGTCTCAAACTATTTCAATATTTGTATATATATATCTATCACTGTTTTAATTAGATTGTTATTGGACATTTACAATATCAGAGGAGGGAGTCACGACAGTCGTTCACAAGTTTGATGGCTTGTGGGTAAAACTGTTCCCTAGTCTGTGTGGACTCTTTCATGATATTAAGAGGCTTTGTGGTAAATGTCTTGCAATAATGGCCTTACCTCAAACCGAATCACCATGCTTCATTTTATTCCAGACTGATCTCATGATGCTCAGAATAAATTAAATCCTAATGCTCAGACAGACACCGTGAACTGTGTCAGATCAGATAATCTTCTCTCTCCATCTCTTTTCGTTATTCTTCTTCCCCAGGCAAAACATGGGATGCGACCACCTGATTGGGTTACTTCAAGTGCGATGGAGACGCTAAAGGTGTTAAAGAACTTTGGTTTTCAGATTCTGTTTGGAGTGTACAAGAGAAAGGAGAAGTGCAGACTTCAGGGAGGTGAGAGCATTTTCTTTTTTAAATGAATTTCAAATAAACTCACAATTATGCCAAGTAATATAGAACAACAACAGCAAAAAAATAAAACTAAATGAATAAAAACAATAAGAACCAAAAACCCAGAGAAAAACATTATATGAGGTTAAACATTGAGAGTAGTTTTTGACATTTTCAAAAAGAAGAGAGGATTCTTGACAGAGCATTTTGATAGTTACACACTCTGACACTTTTATGCACTCATATGCAAATCAGTGTTGTATGAATAGAGGGAGAGGCTGCAACCTGAAACGGTGTGCAATTATAGTGCAGGGAAATGTCAGTGTAAAGAAACAATGGATGGACCTTTCTACATTCAAACTGGAATACACAAATGCAGTACTGTGATCCTGCGACACTTTAATGTGCTAAAACTGCACCTTTGCTCTCATTTACAGGCCTGCTGTTAGATCAGATCATTAAGAATCTCTCAAATGCAGCAGCACCGGACTCTAAACAGGAAGTGAAGATGATGGTATACTCAGCTGTAAGTCTTGTGTCACACTTAAATGAAACATCAGCAGACCAAAACACCCAAACTTCCCTTTTTCAGTCAATATCTTACTAAACAAAAAAAAGGAAAATAATTTTGTCATCTTTAGAGTAAGCAGTTCATGTAATGTTCTCTCATGTAACCCTTTCCTCACTAGCATGACACAACAATTGTAGCCCTGCAGGAAGCTCTGGATGTCTTTAATGGCCTGCAGCCACCTTATGCCTCGTGTCATCTAATTGAACTTCACCAGGAAGAGAACGGGTAACTGAGAACTGTGTTTTTCCTAAATTCATGTTTCAAGTAGACATTCTTTGGTCAACTAAAATATACCTTTGCTTTGCTCTTTCAGGCTGTTTACAGTGCAGATGTTTTATCGCAATGACACTAATTTGTCTGAGCCGTACCCTGTGTCTTTACCGGGCTGTTCTCAGCGTTGCCCCCTACAGGACTTTGTGAACCTCACACGTGAAGTCATACCACAAGACAGGAATAAAGAGTGTCAGATAAGGAAGGAAGCCACAGACACTGGTGATCACAATAATTTACATTAAAGGGGTCATGCGATTTCAAGTTTTCCTTTCTCTTTGGAGTGTTACAAGCTGATTGTGAATAGATAAGATCCCTGAAGTTGCAAAGACTAAAGTCTCAAAACCAAAGAGATATTCTTTATCAAAGTTAAGACTCTGCCACGCCCCCCTAAAACGGCTCGTTCTAACTCGCCCCCACATATCTACCTCACTATGTGGAAATATTAGCATAATGCCGCCCAAATGTGCACGCAAAGAAAGAAGGCGTGGTTTCAGTAACCGCAGTTAGTGTTGAAGCAGCGATGTCAGGGAGACGCTGTGTGTTTCTAGGCGAAAGCAAAAGCACTTTATTTGGCCTTAATGATCTTTTAAAAAGCATCATATGACCCCTTTAATAAATGCTGTTTATTGCTTACATCTTGTAACCACTCTTTTTTTGTGCACACACAAACTGTAAATTATGAATATTTAATTATTTATTGATATTTATACTGCAATTTATTATTTAAAGCACTTCCATATGACAAAAGATACAATTTTAAATATCTTTCAAAATATACATAAAATGGCCAACCATATTGCTTATATAGATTTTCAAATATGTACATTTTAGTTACTTTGATTTTGATAGTTCTCTCTCATATATGTGTGTAGAGGTCATCATTGGGCTGGTTGTGTGTGGATGTCTTCTCTTCCTCCTGGTACTGCTGCTGTTTGTAGTGCTATGCCGTCTAAAAGAGCCCATGGCTAGCTACAGTCATGTCATAAACGAGAGTGACTCCTGACAATCATATCGGCTCCTCCACACAGAGGAACTGTGGGACAGTGAAGAGGACCTATGAGGACACAGCACCAAGTTGTTGAGAAACTCTTAAGACAACTGAAAAGACGGAACTCTTTTTGGCCACACATTTTTTACACCAAGGAACACTTGGTAATGTCTTATTTACTTCTCTTATCTTAGATGTAAATCAAGAGTTGTGATGGTGTCAATAGCATTAACATAACAATGCCTAGTGCACAGACGCATAACTAAGCAACTCGACTTCATGTCCGTCTTGGGCTCTGGGATTTTATTGTAATGAAAGAGTATGTACAAATGTCAACGGTGGAACTAAAACTTGAACTCAAAATATCTGAGATGTGGACTAGATTGAAGCTCCTCGGCGTCCTACTGTTTGTGCTCCCAGGCCATTAATTCTACTGTACTTGTGAATGCCTAAAGATTCAGATGGGGCAACAAAAGCCTACTTAATGAGGCCTTTTAATGCACTCATGGAATTTTACCCTCATGCTTTTTATGTGATTATCTCCTGATTTACAGCCACAGAAGAGTTTTGATTAGTACATTTCAGAATAACAACATGCTGATATGAACAGTCTTGTCAGGTTAAACTCAAATTAGCTTTTATTGGAGTTGTTTAATCGTGTAGTTTCCTTAATGTTTTGTCATTCCACTTTGATCACGTGAATACAAATTAAATTTTGGATTAAGTTATGAAATATGCTTTCATGTCTCAATACAGTAAAAATCAGTTCCAGGTGCATCATATTTAATACAAAATTGTTAGACTGATAAACATGCCCAGTAAGAATTAAAAAATATATATATATTGCCACTCAACATTTATATGCAATGTGTCCAAATTGTTCTAATCTTTAATGTTTTGTTTGTTTTTAATGATTGTCTTTTTACTGTCTCAGTGCAGGATTAATTTAACAAATGCTGTATTGATTAGCTGAAGAAATTGTGATGGTTTGAGACGTACTTAATCTGAAAAGAAGACAACCTTTTTTATTCCGTTTTATTTTCATCAAATAGACAAATAATGTTTGACAGGACAACTGTTTTAAACAAATGCATGTATGTTGTGTACTAGGTCACTGACATCTTGTTAATAGTCAAAATGGAAACTTGTAATACATGTGTAACAGCACAAGTCTTTAGTGTCAGGAAAAGAGCTTCAAACCAACATGTTTTTACCAAGAATATAAGCCAAATTCACAATTTGTGTAAATCTAGCTTTAAAAAAACACATTCATAGACCTCTGCTTTGAATATGGGGGTGTCCCCTGAATATCCACGTCATTTAAGGTCCTAGGGCCTCGTTTATAAACAAGCGTAAAATGATCTTGTGATGTGTGAACACACAAAAGTTTCTGAAATGTTAATATGAATGATTTATAAAAAGTCTGCACAAAAATGTCTCTAAATGCATCTCTTGATAAACTCCACCACCAGAATGCACACCAACATCCCTTCATGGTTATATATATTAATATATAATTAAGCAATTACAGAGACATAATTATCACAAAGCGGTTAAAATATTGCTAATTTGTGCATATAAATGCATAACGTGATTGCCTATTTATCTTTACATGTTCTTGATCGAGTTTAATTACTGGTATATGAGCACAGGAAGTTCATACACATGCTTTTGTAAATCCTGATTTGTTCTGAGATAGAATGAAATCTGATCGTAAATGCATTTTATAAATGAGGCCCCAGTTTCTGCAAGGTATTGTGATATCATGAATACACCAGCAGTGCATAAATGTTAAAGACTAAAAGCATCCAAAGTACAAATGTTTTTTATACATTCTCCTAAAATTAATTAAACCTCTTTTTTGTAATTAATGTATGTTTTAACAATCATTCATCTAGAATTTTTAATAGAAATGTTTGTACACCTATACTGCAAGTAGACTATTATCTGGACCAGTCCAGATCAGTGCAACTGTTTGAGAACATTACAATTCAGTCAAAACTATCAACACAAAATATGGGACTTCATTCAAAAGACACCAAACATTTTCCTTTCACAGTCTGTGATTCATTCTTTTTTTTCTATATCGTACTCTTAACTTTGCTGTAATTTTAAACATGTGGTGCAACATCAGGCTGGGTTGAGTGCCCCAGAAACATCTCAAGTGTTTTTCTCTATTATCTGGACTGGATTACAAACTTCAAATGTTCAGTCTGTGCACATCCATGACAGAGAGAATGACACTCAGCAATATTAAAGGTGGTTTAAAGTCTCCACTAAAACACTACATAGGCTAAGCACCATTAAAAACCTTAAGGATAACACTAAACACACATACGTGCACACATAAAAAAATATTCTTGCTGCACTCCACACACCGCTGTTCTTTTTTTAATCCCGCTCTGACCTTTAACCTTTACACTCAACATTCAGTTGTCAACAGTGACACGGGTCACTGCACAGGTTTACTATCACAATATAGGGATTGGTTTATCAATGAACAAATATTAAGATATACAGGGTATTTGATTCATTTCACAGAGAGTAAAGGAAATAGGAAAAGAGAAATGTTGATTGTCTGTTGTCAAGGTCAAAGGTTAGGCTCTGATCAGGCGATGGCTTTGGCCTCAGGCAGGAAAGCCTCCCAACACTTCACCAGCTGGTTTAAGATAAATAGCAATTCATGAAAGACTATTCAGCGGTGTTGTATGTAAAACAAACAAACACTTACACACTTACCCTATGCTGTGTGTGAAGCAGGGACTCCAGGTATTTCACTATGTGCTGTTTGAAATCTCTGGCTTTCTCTTTCTGCCACAGAAAAACAATTCTATTTTAATCTTATATTTTCTGATGTAAAATGGTATTGCCAATGGTCACCGCTTTTGGAACTATTGAATTTCAGATGAATGCTGGTAGATTTTTTTAAAGGTAATTTTTTAACATTTACAGGGGCAAGTTGGTGATTTTATTGCCATCCGTATCCAGAATGACCGTTTTTCTTCCCCTATCCGTGTGAAAATTCCTGGCTGAATTACCTACTGTAAAAACAAACAGTGGTTGTGTGGTAATTTAACTGTCTCGAGTTTAGGAAAAGGGATCAATCCAAAATCCAAAAGTCATTTTGTAAATCCCACCAAGCACCATCTGGTAACTGTTGTGCTTTGCTTCATTTTATATTTGGATACTAAAATATTTTGTCAAGAATAATACAGAAATATATTGTCACCGCTCCACTATAGTGAGTCAGAGATGTTAAAGAGAAATAGAAAAAGAAAAAAAAAACCAGAACAACATTGCGTAAGCTTTTGAAATAGGCCATATTTATGGCAGCACCAGGCAGGCAACAAAATTAAAAAATATATGTATTTATATAAACTAGGGCTTGCATAACTAATAATTTTAGCAGTTGACAAAATAGTCAAATGTTTGCCCTATGTAAATAAGCCCATCATTTTAAACATATAAAACCACTAGAACCATAGCACATCAGTGTACCTACTATTATATAGGATATTTAAATTAAGAAATAATAAAACAGGACATTTCCTATTACTAAATTCATCATCATGATGAACATGTGACTGACATACAGTAACTTACCTCAAATCTGAGCACTTCTTTACGCACAGTACAGGTAACTCTTTCAAAATCTCTCTCATACTGACTGACTTTAGACTCCCACTGTGCAGAAACACATGAAACAGCTCAATGTTAACAGCAAATTAGTGACCATTCATATTGTCATTAACATTACTCCCCTACAAAAATGTTACATGTTAGCCTAATGTACAGTACTTGTACCGTGTTGTGTTTATCATTCGCTGTTGATAATTTAACCTCATTTATGTCGTCTTTAGCCTGCTGCAGCTTCTCAGGTTTGTTTGCCCAGAGCAGTTTGGCCTCGGCCTCTCGTTTCTTCTGCAATGTGCTCTGAGCTTCCTGTAGACGCTGCCACACTTTCATCCTCTGCTCAAAACAGCACTGAGGACAGCAAAGAACACAGTAAACAACATCATATTACTTATGCAGTGGGTTCTGGTTGTTGGTTTTGCATTATGTGGTTGTGCTCTCTAACCCTCACGGCCCCCAGCAGTCTGATGTAGTCGGCCAGGAGCTCAGCGAGGATGAAGAAATCGCTGAAGGCCTGTTGCTGATGCAGCTGCTCCATCTTGTCCTCCACTTCCGCCAGCTGTGACAGTGCACGAGACAATGCAGAGTTCTCCTCCACACTGCCCAGCATGGCCACACTCTTACTAAACACCGCTGTGTTACTACACAACTCTACGAGAGGACAAAGACTTTGAGATGCTTTGTAACAGTATGCATCTGGATGATTGGCTCACATAGGATCAGTGTAGTTTTCATTCTCACCTTTCCTGTGGTTTACTAATGAGTCGACAGCAGCATGGAGCCTCCTCAGCAGCTGCTCCTCATTCTCCACTTCCTGCAGCTTACTCTCGAACCACTGACACACACACACACACAGAGGTGTCAATCACTAGTCAAATGCAACAACCTGGGAGAATTTACATCTTAGAACTGCATGAACTGAGCTCCTCTTACATTATCTGATTCATTCATTTTAATGGTCATCTTATTCACTGCGTCCGACGCTCTGTTTATCATCTTTAGGAGGCCAGGTCCACTCAAAGTCTGAGTATTTACTGCCCTGGGCAACTAAAAACACACAAACAAGTTTAGATATTAAATATGTCACTAAAAATACTGTGTCTAGGAACATGATAAAGGTGGTCACCTCATCTCTCTCTAAAAACTCTCGAACATCCGGGTCCTGTAATAGAGATGGATGAGCCACTACTCTCTGGAGATACCTACAGAAAATACAAACACAAACACACAGCCAATAAGTATATAATATACAGTGGGTATAGAAAAGAATCACCCCCTTTAAAATAATCACAAGGTGATTAGCTACACCTGATTGAGTTTACAAGTAATTTTTAGGAGGGGGGTGATACTTTTTCCAACTCAGTGATTCTGTTTTTTTTTTTGTTTGTTTGTTTTTCTGACATGTTGGTATTATATCTTTCACTTGGATGTTATAAGTTGCACTGAGTAAACACAGCTGGATAAAAAAAACTGTGTCCATCTTCATTTCAGGCTGCAAAGCAACAAAATGTGATTATTTTTAAAAGGTGGTGATTCTTTTCTATACCCACTGTATATATAATAAATATAACCATAAACAAGTGTGCATTAGCACGTGAATGCATATTTTATGTTAGAGGTAAATACATATTGTTCTGCTGTTGCAACTCAAAATTCGCAACAATGAATGCATTTTTTTTTTCGTTTGCATGGCTGGTGCCGAAAGGTTCAAGAGTATGACTGCAAAAATAAAAATGAAACAACTTCTAACTCCTCAAGGTTTGTGGTGTCTAAATCTGTTGCCGTTAACAATCTTTCCCAATTTGTATTCTCAATTTAATAAATACCTTGGTTACCAGATATTTGTCACAAAGGATCACTGATGATTCATTGCTGCTCACATTTGCTAACTACTACTTTATATTCCACTGCTGCTACACATGTATATATTACCTACTTATCTAACTGTCAGTTTTGTTTTTACTTTGTGTACCTTCTGATACTATTGTCTGTATTTGTCCATATTTACTGTGTTTAGTCCTCATGACTGTCTACATGCCACAGTTGTTTCCTGAAGAAATTGTGTTGTTTGTTTTCCATCTTTTTGTCATGCAATTAGCTAAAAATTACAATAAAGTTTACTCTGCGTTTATATTGTAAATGTCACATAGTATTCATCAGCGCTTTCTTTTTTTCTGATTATTACAGGCATTTTTTGGTTGCACCTGGGATTTCCTACATTTTGGACTTCAAAATACCCCATCACAACAATAAAAGAGTTTTTCCAATCATATCCAATATATCTCAAGTTCAATATGCCATCAGCCACTTTATCAGAAATCAGGTTTTCCACTCACCCTAGTTATCAGTATCAGAAAAAAATACAATTGGTCAACCTCTGTTTTATGTGTATGTCTAATTGGCCATGTGTTCACCTCTCCAGTGCTGCTCGTCTCTTTTCCACAAACTCCGCTGAGGATGAATCCTCCTTCCCTACCTTCACTTTAGTCATCCCTGTGACACAACACCAAACCACACGCTCAGTCAACAAAAAAGTAAGAGCCAACAGAAAGCTCAGAGTAAACATTCTCATGTATCCAGGCCACTGTGAGTGTCTAGATGAGCTAACTAGAATAACTCCACTAGACATGGAGCCAGAGTGAGCATGAGAGCTTCTTTACCTACTACACTCTTCTGAGGTGGAGGTGGGATGATGCAACCCAGCAGGGAGTGTTTGGCCGATATCTTCTCATAAAGTCCCAGGAAATCACTGAAGCGTCGACGCACTGAGAACGTCTTATTAAGGAACATGGGCAGTGTAGTCTGGAGAGAGACAGAGAAGCACGGAAAAGTCCCAAAATGCTGATATATGTAGCTTGAACAATCCAAAAAAAAAAGGTAATAGGGATAAGCTTTTGCGTACCTGAGTTGACACTTTGTAAGACATGTAGGCATTCATGCCATCTCCTGTAACACAATAACGTAGAAGAACTCAATCACTATAGCTCTCAACACCCAGAACATCTAGAACAAGAGGCTGACTCTAGACTAGTGGTTCTCAACCTTTTCAGTCCTCAATGTCCAAGGAAATATGAATTTGAATGGCCACACATGTAGGCTAAGATATTTTCTCTATTAATACTGCTGTAATAAAGACAAACCTGCTTGTTTTCTATGAGTGTCAACAGATTAATTATTATGATTCTTTTTTTTTTCATTTCAGAAGTTTTAAGAACTCAAGAATTGTATTTCTTAATGTTGATCAGATTTTAATAAATAAAAGTAAGAAATACAAATACTTATTTCAAATAAACCTTTAAAATAAGCTCCTTTGGATGTTTGCTGAGGTCCCCTAGTGGGCAACTGGTTGAGAACCACTCATCTAGAAAAATGTGATGCTAGTATATCCCCCTTATTTTTAAAGTAATAGTGGGCAATGCGATTTATAATGTGAATGTGTCGCTCCTAGTTATTTTAGCTGTACAAAATCAGTTCATTGTGCTGCTTGACGCTGCAAACGGTTATTTATCATCATATTATTAACATTTATTCTTTTAGCAGATGCTTTTTTTAATCCAAAGTGATTTACAAATGAGGAATCATAATCATAAACTCACTGGTTTGTAGCGCAAATAATTTTACAGGTTGCTTCAATTTGTTATTTACTTATTCACTTACTTTCGCATTGAAAAATAAGTTGCATAATACAAACCAATTTTCTCTGGATTAGTGACTGCGATGTTCAGCTCAAACTGGTCTCCACTCTCTTCCTCCTCCAACTGTTAAAGTTCATCAGCATTGTTAGAATTAAGAATCTATATAAATATTACATGAATGCAACTGAAGGCACGTAAAGGGTCTTGTTTCAGTACCTCCTCTGTGGTCTTGGTGACAATGCTGGGTTTGAGTATGGAATTAGGAACTTGTGTGGTGTTGCAAGCCGATGCGGTCGGTCCAATAATCTCTCTCCTGCCTTGACTAGTGGTGTTGGTAAGCGTCAGTTCTACAGTGGCCTCTGGTGTTTGAACAGAGAGAACAAATAAAGGTGTGAAGTATGTGAGTAATAGCACTTCACCATTATATTTTAGTATAGTATTATTTTGGGAACTCTGTACCTTACATTAGTTCTGTTAAAACCGAGTACTTGTACTTTTACTCAATCGCATTTACAGTCATAGCCAAAAGTTTTGGCAGTGACATAAATTGTGTTTTGCAAATTTGCTGTTTCAGTATTTGTAGATTATTCTTCCACATGTTTCTATGGTATACTGAAAAACAATGATAAGCATATCATAAGTTTTAAAGGCTTTTATTGGCAAAAAAATATATAATGAGTCAATATTTACTCGCCTTTTGAGGACTGACCACAGGTTCTCTATGGGATTGAGATATGGGGAGTTGCCTGGCCACAGATCCAAAATTTCAATGTGATGATCTTCGAGCCACTTCTTTATCACTCTTGCTTTGTGACATGGTGCTCCATTATGCTGGAAAATGCACGGATCATCACCAGATTGCTCATGGATCGTTGGAAGAAGTCGCTCTTGCAGGACGTTTTGATACCATTCTTTATTCATGGCAGTGTTTTTGGGCAGAATTATGAGAGCCCACTCCCTTGGTTGAAAAGCTACTCCACACATGGATGGTCTCAGGATGCTTCACTTTTGGCACAACACAGAACTCATGGTAGCGTTCACCTTTTCTTCTCCGAACAATCGATTTTCCTGATGTCCCAAACAGTCGGAAGGGAGCTTCATCAGAGAAAATAACAGTCTTCTGCTGTCCAATCCTTGACCTTCCTGCAGAATTTCAGTCTGTCCTTGACATGAATTTCACTAAGGTTTATCAATGTTTTTTGTTTCACTAGTGTTTGTAAGAGGCTTTTCAATAATTATGGCCTATACGGCCCCTCATACTTCTTCCCTCCTTTTATAGCAATCAGTCTGCTCTTACTATCTAAATAGTATGATAGTGGTCTGATCACTCTACACAATAATCTAGAAACAATGTGAATGAACACCACAACAGCTTAAGCAGCAAACTTTGCAAAACACAAAATTGATGTCACTGCCAAAACTTTTGGCCATGACTGTACAACGAAAAAGAATAGCCTTTTACTTCATTACAATTTCTTATACTTGCATATCATGACTTAAATATTTCATCAATGATTTAAAAATATCTATCCAAATGTAACTAAGTCAGTAAATCATGTACACATAAAAACTATCCCTTTCAGACCCATACTTCATGCTCTAGTAAAGTGTTTTTATAAAAACTACTAAAAATCGCTATATTCAAATATTTGTAAAATCACCTACTGATAATTTTAGCTGAGAATATTATGGTAACAGGTTTCAGGAAATTGGTTTCAGTTTAACATCTGCTGTGCCCTGGATTCTTACATGGTTAGAACAATGAGAAAATATTCTTTTATAAGTTTTTGCCTCAAAAATACTAAAATTAGAACATCTCTACTGTCTCTTGTTTTCAAATGCCAATTTGAAGCTAATAAAAGTGCTCAATCATAATGATAGTGCTCAATTATATGTGGATACTTCCACTCAAGTACTTTTTGGCTAGGTACATATGCCTAATTTTAATTGAGCACAATTTTTGACAATAGTTTATTAATTCATAGTTTTTTAGTTAATATACCTTAACTTAAGTACAATTGTCAATACTTTTTACATCTCAGATTGCATCTTTAAGTGATCTGCATCAGCCTGACACGATATTTTAAAGACAAAGATGGAATGCTTTGTTCTCCAACATGCAGTTCTGTTGCCATCTGGCCTGCAGGTCAAGTCAAGTGTCATTACGCATTTATTGCTCATTATGAGTAATGGTGCAGTAATGGAGTGGTGAGAAATACCAGTGAACAGATCCAGCTCTTCTTCATCAGGGTGAAGGCCATTAGTGGCGTGATGGACATCGCTCCTGATGTACGAGCCCTCCTCACTGAAGATATCGCCCTCATCAGGAGCTGAGGTGGGTGTGATCGGGTTACTCTGCAAAAAGAGAGTAACACAATGCCAACATAACAGCTGATAACCATGACAAAATTGCAGTTCGTGCAGTTGCTGAGCTGCATTATGAGACTAACCGCTGCAGATACTGACTATAAGCTATCAGCTAGCTTCTGTCAAATGACACATAAATGTTTTCCCACATATGACTTAATCAGATAATACAAACTAGTTATTCATTCTGAAGCAAGTGTCTCACTCTCGCGCCGGTGAATATGTCCTCGCCTTCATCATCATCATCCTCGTCGCTGTCCAGCACTCGAGTGTCCGATTCAGCCTCCTGATCTTCATTATCAGGGAAAGGAGGAGGAATCCGTCCGCAGCTGCCTGACATCGCTTCTTTCGGCCAAAGAAATGATATGTAACAACAAACAAACCTAACGGATCAAGTCTCGAGGTTGGCGTAATTTCTAACTGACTGTACGCTACAGGCAAGCGTGGATTGAATTTCACTCCTAGGTAACCTCAGCCTACTTAAAATCATCCGCGGACGGCTCAGAAAGAGCGCTGGTGCGACACTGCCACCTGATGGTCTGGAGCAAATACTACAGCTACTTCAGCCAGTGCTGCCAATTTAGCAATTTTGTTGCTAAATTTAGCAACTTTTCAGACTACCCTAGCAACTTTTTCTTCCAAAAGCACCTAGCAACAAATTGAGCTATTTTTAAATTTTATTTGGTTACTTTTAGCACAAAACCGTGAATTGAGTTAGCTGCTATTTGCAATTGTTCAATTTAATAATAATAATTGAATAATCTGATAATTGAATAATTGTTCATTTATGATACACTTTGTTAGTAGCTTGTACCTGTGATTGTTCATCAGTTAGTATACTGTAAGAAAAATGGAAAATCTTTCAGGACATTATCCATCATCCATTGTAACCCTGTAACCCGAAAACACAATGCGTAATTTAAAATGTAGGTAAAAAACCATTACGGAAAATTCTTTCATATTAACATAGTAGATTGTGCCTTATTTTTACAGACTTTTCTTAGAGTGTAGCATACTAACTAACTACTAATACACTGCTTAAAGCATATTAGTTGAGAATGTGTAGAATTACTAGTTTACTAGCTACTAAAAAAACTTAAATTGAAATCATTCAAAAATGTGTACGTTTTCAATAATTCAATGTATTTAAAAATACAGTTATTTATATTTTAATATATCATGCATATTATTTTACAAACAAATCTAAATTAACATATATAAAATATATTTTTTGCTGAGATTTGATGATGTGACAATTTTGCGTCGTGATTACGCAATGACGTCATTGCACAATGACATCACAACGTCATTTAGCAACTTTTAGCAACAAATCGACCATCCTTTGGCAACTTTCTCTGAAAATTAGTTGGCAACACTGACTTCAGCAACTACATAAGCTGATCTGATACGGATCAGTCAGCGAATACATTTAGTCAGTACAGCTACAGAAAAACACATTTGCTATCAATTCACTCATAGGTTATTGTCGAATTATGACTTGAGAGCAGCTCGGACGAATTTAGTGAACCGATTCAACCAGTTCAATCGCATCAGACTTCGTACTTTGCTTGAATTCAATCAATACAACAGAAAAACACAACACCACAGCATATTCGCAAGTATCCCGTTTAATAAAATTAATTTTAATAATTTCAATCTCATAATTTAAGATTTGTTTGAAAACAATTTAACTAGTGTACTAGTGACTCATGATCTTCAAAAATATACATTTACAAATATATATATACAGTATATATATATATATATATATATTCTTATACATTTCTATGAGAGTCAAAACATTTTTTTGCATTTGTTCAGTTAGTGTTTCTGCTGATGTCAGAATTGGATAACTCTAAACTCAGTGAGCAGAGCAACGAGGAGGAAGACAATGTAGAAGATCAGTAGAAAAATGCCATATACTCGGCTCAGGTGAAAACACTGAAGAGGAACCAGTATGAAGGAGAGGACGAGAGACAGACCCAGTGCTCCTGAGAGAACCCAGCACAGCATCCCCTCTGGTTCCAGCTGACCACACAACAGAACACACAGATCAGACTCCACCACTCATCTAAATTGGATAATTCAACAGACTAAAAGCTTGCAACATGTTCTCAGGTAAACACCAAAAGACTATACAGTATATAGTATCCACTTGCATGTATATATGCTCTTTTCTAAGAAAGTTGAGACGTATATAATATACAGAGCGTGAGACATACCATCACAACGTTATTAGTCTGAAAGATTTGCAGCAGGCAGCCCAGACCCACACCAAACAGCATGTCTTAATGCAATGTTAAAGGCATCTCTATGTGGTTATGGTTTATATACCAGGATATTTACAGTACTGTAAATAAATAGTATGATTAAATCTGTTGATATATTTATTAAAGCACATACACAAAAAGGAAAACTTTTAAAGGACCTTATGTTAAAAGATACTAAAGATAATGCCTCCGAAACAGGCAGAAATGGCCATCCGTGGGTATCCCTGACGGGCTATAGTAATGTCTGCAAAGCAATCTGTGAAAACACACAAATATAACACATGGTCTAACAGAGGTAAAAACATAATGGTGTATAATATCCCACTGGTGTATGATTCTTTAAAATATTAAAAGCCATCTGGTAATAAATACCATTGGTAAAAAATGGTTTAAAAAAAAAGTATAAAATACCACTATCTCATGCATTACATTAGTACTTAACAGTGCCAACAAAAAATAAAACCATACCATCTAGTAGTTGCAAAACTGTTTTCCTTTCATTTCAAGTCCTAGAATATTGGCTATGAGCAAAAATAATAAAATAATGGGAAGATAATGTGCTGCTTGTGTTTTTTAATGTTGTGAGTGAGTGTGTACCTCCAATGCTGTTGCCCCAGGCTAACAAGGTGAGGCCCAGTACAGTGTTGCTCAGACTGAGAACAACCCCCAGCAGGTGCAGCACACTAACAATCTCAGACGCCACAGTGCTGATCCACAACATGCTGACCACAAAACCTAGCAGAGAATAGAGCTACATGCACACACGCACAGCAATAGAACAAATAAAAAAATTGAAAACAAAATTAATACCTTTATTCAGCAAGGATGCTTTAGATTGATTAAAAGAGATAGTAAAGACATTTTTAAAGTCTATACAATGATTTCTATTTCAAATAACTTCTGTTCCTTTGAGTCATTTGAAAATTGAATTTTTTAATATATTAAAACAGAAAAACAGCTATTTAAGATTATAATAATATTTCACAATATGAATGTTTTTACTGTATTTGTGATCAAATAAATGCATAAGAGACTTCTTTAAAACACTGAAGATTCATACAAAGTGATATCTAGGAGGACGCTCATTTGTGGTAGTGAAGAAGACTATGCCCGAGAGGAAGACTCCAATGCAGAGTATAAGCACCCACACTGGAACTTCTCCTTCAATGAGCAGTAAGCCATCTTGAATGAAAGAAAAAGATTGTCTTTTTCAGTCACATGTACTTTTACAGAACATGAAGTGATTACACAATATCTGCATCAACAGCATTTATCTTTTCACATACAAGAGGAATTTCAGTTCATCTGACAGACTGCAGCTGGTGCATTAAAGCAACGAAACAATGACAGGGATGACATAACTACTTTTTATGTGCACATAAGAGATTGCTGTTAAACAGGTTTAGTTTCATGGTTCAAATAAAAATGCCAACCGACTTACACTTTCCTGACTGGAAGGAAAGTACACACACCACAGGCCCAGTGATTATGTGCAGACAGTTCAGAGGGCGTTTCCAGTTGTGATCTTCCTTATCTGCGTCCACCACAGGAACTGTCAACAATAACAGCACTTCTACAGGCACCTTACACAGTCAGACAGACAGGCAAAAAAAAGATCTTCACCTTAAAATTACATAGACATGTATACAAAGTTCAACAAATCCACCACTTGGACAATCAGACAAGTTTATTTTAAACAATAAGTTAATAGAAGAATGATTACTTATTTAGAACCAGGAAGTGATCATGAAATTAAATACACATTTTTTTTTTTTTTTTACCTTGATCACTTTGAGGACTTTGGCACTCCAGTGCTGTCTCCTCCAGGTCCGGCTGTCCACCGGGTTAATGGCATTCAGGAAGATCTGAGCAGTGGATTGAGTGTAAGGCAGCAAAGGCTCATACTCTCCGTCATCTGAAACACACATATATACACACCAGCACTTACAAACACATACATGCAAGAATTTCACAGACAAATGCAAACCAATAGTCTAAAAAAAAATGGTTGATGAGTAGCATTTCAGAGCCAATGAAGCACACACAAACATAAAATGTAATGACTGAGCAGATAGAAACACTGTTACACCATACAGAATTTCCTTAAAGATGCAAAATTCTCTCTCACTTTCACTGTTACCAATGCAGATAGCAACACACGCTTGCAAACTCCCATTATTATGAAAGTCTGTGGTGTTGAAAACAATCACGCATACATAACCCACCGAAACTCCAGCCACTTACTTAGCCAACATAGTTTTAAGTTGAGAGGAAGTGACCCACCGTGTGCTTGTATGCTGGCACTCTGAATTTCTCTATATGAATCAGATGGGAGAATCTCTCCTAAAAGTCAAGAACAGCACTCATTAATCTCTGCCCAGTGATCAGACTAACACTGCTGCAAGGCAAAGAGCATTATTTTTATTTCATAAACTTCATAACACTTTATTTAAATTGACATAGCTTTGAGTTTGCATTGTTGTGAACACTATATCTGAATGCGTGAGAGTTTAGTGCAGTTAATTCATATATTACTAGGAATGGGAATGAGTACTCAAGTAAGCAAATCTCAGTCACCAAAAACAATAATAATGTGAGTTTACAACACATTTTAACATGTTTACCTTAAATAAAAGAAAAAAATTGTCACTCCTCATTCAGGAATTGTAATGTGACTGAAAGATGCTAAAAAAGAGTGCGGTGTGTGATTTGTGAGTTCAGTGCTGAGAAAGACTGCAGTCTTTACCCTGTTCTCTGCCTGAGGTCTGGGCCGATCCATTCAGTTGATGCTTCTGACGATTGTAAATATATGCACTAACAATCACAGTCAAAACATATGCAATATACAGCCCCAGATAACCTGTGGAGAACAAAAAAGAATGATAGGAAGAAACAGATGACTTGTCTAACAAGATGAAATAATAACTGTATCGATATATTATGCATGAAAGTGGAACATGCAGATTGAAAATATGTGTACATTTCCTAAATGAATGAAAAGATGGTATAAATATGATTAAGTGAATAACGGTTATCGGACCCACGGCTTCTCCCATGGAAATATGGCCTTTATATAGGATAATGAAGGTCCAAAACACAGCTGCCATGTAGAAAATGACATCCCGAAGGAATGGACGGGACGCCACAGTGAAAGGCTTAACCAGAGCAATGCTTCCAGCTACCACTGTTGTAACAAAGATTCCCGCCCCTAGGAAAAAAATTCACATTAAGATAATGTTTTTTTTCAAGTTTTTTTAATGACTGATGAATCTGTTCAGAAGACTTAAAGGTAGGGATGTAACGATTAACCGCGAGCCGGTTGAAAATCGATTCAAATATGTGACGATTCAAATCGCTTGAGATGCTAAACAAATGGCGATTCATTTAGGTGTAGGAGTTTATATGAATGTATGTCTGAGGGGAACTTACTGTCTTTAGAAAAGTTTAGATGGTATTTTTTCTTTTCATCTTGCCTCTGTATAATGCATATTAAAGTTCGTAAGTTCAGCGCTGCTTTGTTTACAGCGGAAACCAAAGAAACGCTTTAAGCGCCACCTGCTGGCAGAGAGTGCATCTGCGTCTCATTCAGCTCGTCTGCTGTTTCACGCAGATATTTTTATGTATAGTTTAACAAAACTGAAGTCAAACCATTCTGTTTTTGCTTCAAATTTCGAAATAAAAAAATCGTGAATCGAATCGAATCGTGAGTTGAGTGAATCATTACATCCCTACTTAAAGGTGAAGTGTGTAATTTCTGTGGCACCCAATGGAGCTGTATGAATACTGCTACTGTTCAGTCAAAACAAACAGTCTCGAGGTTATGGTCAAACCACTTGCATGATTCAAGCAACCTGCACAATTCAATTCGGTGCCATTTTTAGTTGAGAATTACACAGTTTACCTTAAATACTCCAACACATCCTTGATTAGTGTTGTCAAAAGACCCGGTATTTCGGTACCAAGTCGGTACTAAAAAAATGAAAACGTTACGG